TTTATTTTTTGGAAACTACAGGGGCTGGTAGTTGATGGTTTGCAAATCAGCACTGGTCCATGGACCACCACTTTGAGTAGCATGTTCTACTGCATTTGAGTTCAGACAGAAAGGAAGTTGTTCTGCTCTTTATACACTTGTAAAAAAATGCATCAGTATCTGTTAGAAGTGACAGCCTATGATAGCATTCTTGATGCAACACTTGGATTCAATTACATGATCCTGAAGATTTCCTACCAATTTATGGCACATGGAGTTAGCTCAGAGCCAAAGAAAGAGAGGAAACCCCAGAATGGAAGGAGCTTGGGGATTCTCCTTGCTGTGTTGATAGAGGAGACTACAGCTTGGTTGGACCAGAGTGGGATACCTACCTCTGTAACCTATCATTCTCTCAGCAAAACCCTAAGAGAGTGATGGCAGGAGGATTTGGAAGTGATAAGGGGGTGGGGAGAATACAGCAAAGGAAGGCAGCAGAGGAGGCAATGAAAGGATAGTGTGGGCTGGGAGGGCAGTGAGGATTGGGAGGGCAGTGGATGGAAGATGCTATGACAGCAAGGGTCAGGGTTAAGATGAAGGGACTCAGGAGTGGTTTAGTGGTGCATTGGAACCAATGACTCAGAGGTACAGGGGTCTGTGGGAGATTATGACTGAGAGGTTTGAGGGGGAAATGAAGATTCCAGCACAATGGCCCCTGCACCCTACCCCACAGCCCCATGGCTACTTACACGTGCAGGGAGAGGGCACGGCCCCGGTACAAGCTGAAGGCGCTGCCGTAGGGGTCGCTCCCCAGAGACAGGCTGTCCTCGGACCCCGGGGCCACGCCAATCAGCTCCGCCCGTGATGCCCGCACCAGCGGCTCCACCCCCAGGTGCCGGGCCTCGGCAGGTGCTTGCCTTGGAATGCTGGGGTGCAGGTAGGGTCCCCTCACCGTGGGGCCAGCCTCTGGATCCTTCTCCAACACCGTGGTCTGGCTCCCTGACCAACTGGAGTGCTCATCTGTCTGGGACAGGCCTGGCACAGAGGTCGGAGTTGTCTTCATGGAGGCATCCACCAGCGTGTCCGACTCCCCTGCCAGAAACACAAACAAGACCTAATTGAGACAAATGGACTCTTTCCCCTTTCCCTTGCATAATCAGACTGGGGCAATGGGCTAGTACTAAGAGGCATTGATAAAGCTGGCTAGAGGCCAGCCTTATCATTAGGCAAAAAGAAGTGGGTGCCACAGGCAGTAAATTTGTGCTGCCATAGAAGCACAATAAATAGCTATTACAACCCTCCATAGCCACAGATTTTGCATCCACAGATTCAATCATCTACAGCTTGAAAATATCCCCTCCCCCCAAAAATCCAAAAAGCAAACCTTGATTTTGCCATTTTATATAAGGGATACAATTTTACCATGTCATTATATATGATGGGACTTGAGCATCCATGGATTTTTATATCCATGGAGGGTTCTGGAACCAAAACCCAGCAGATACCAACAGCTCACTGTATTGTATATGTGCTATTAAAAATAGGGATAGCTGTTCAAGAATTTTTCTGCCTCCTATGGCAAAATAACTTTTCTGGCTTTGAGTCCTGTCAGTTAGATGTGGGTTTGTTGAGGCTGATGGCTTCTGTGAGAGGATGGGGCAATCTGTAAATAGCTCCGATTGGTTGACAGAGGGGAGCGGGGTATTATTATTATTATTATTATTATTTATCACATGGGGGGAAATTGGAAGTTTAAAATAGTAAGAACCCGTTATTAACTCACAGTTGCACAAATGGTTTTCACACGCAAAGCACTGTTATCCTATGCAGAATCTGAGATTAACCCGCACTTGAGCACAAATGTGCAAATGGTTTTCACACGATGGGACCAAACGTGCCTCTATCCCAATAATGATTAAAGTGTGTGTATCTCGCAGTAGTGAGCAAATGCACAAATGATTTTCACATGTAGATTGTAAGAAATCTGTGTGTGTGTGTGTGTGTGTCCGTGTCCCTGCCTTCCCTCAGCAGCTGTTCCTTTAAGAGCCCTAGCTATGGGGGAACACAGAAGCTGGAAACAGACAGACATACGCTTGAAAGAACAAGGGGTAACTCAGCCTTTTCTCTATCTCACTTGCTCTGTCCCTGCCTTTGCTTCAGTATCTGTTTCTTTAAGAGCTATGGCTAGGAGAGAAGGCTGAAGTGATCCCCAAATTGTGCACTTTAAGGGATTTTGGACTTCAGCTCCCAGAAGCCTCAGCCATGTTGGCCAATAGTCTGGGATTCTGGGAGCTGAAGTCCAAAATCCCTTAAAGGGGACAGTTTGGGGATCGCTGCGTCTGGCTAGAAGGTAGGGCTGAAGCAGGAGACAGAGAGAGAGAGAGAGAGAGAATGAGAATGAGGAGCCCCAGGGACTCAGACCAGGAGGCAAGCATTCATTCACTCTCCTCTCTCTCTCTCTCTGCACTTGCACAAACTGTTTGTTTTAAGAGCTCTGGCTACGAAGAAGGGTGGGTACTTATTTTAGGAGCTTTATAACCAGTATTAAAGTATTGCCCCATATTGCCCCGCAGCACTGGAAGTAAACTCACCCTAAAGAACCATGGGAAATCTGGCAACAAAAACACAAAAATAGGGAGAATCCCGTGAAGAAACTGCAAGTAGCTTTCACACTACAGCAATTGCACCAAAAAAGTGATTTCGTGAATGAAATGGAAATGAATTCACAAGATTTTCCCGAAAATGCCTATTTGCTGGTTCATGTCACTTTCTATGCAGTTTGCGCACAACATCGTGTGAAAACCATTCACGCATTTGCGCCCAATACGCTGGATAATCATAGGTTCTTACCCATTTAAACTTCCAATTTTCCCCGTGTGATAAACTCCTGAGAGCCTTTGTGGCTAAAGAGTGGGGTATAAATAGTCTAAATAAAATAAACTTTTAAAAATTGCTCCATGTTTTATTCTGAACTGTAAAGAAGATATCCAAATCCCAAACCCTGGTCTGCAAGTATGTTCAGCAACTTGGATAGCTCCTTGAAATCTTTAGTAGATTTATTGCTCACCTGACATGGGAGCCACCAGTGGCCACTGAAGAGAGGCAGAATTTGCTGCTCTGCCTTAGGCACCAAAACATCATAGGCCAGCCCTGACACCACAACACAGATTGGTAGATTCACAAGAGTGACCAGAGACATTGCACGGCTGTCCACAGAATAGCATGTAATATTCAATAATTCTACCAATCTTGCTTAATTCTCAAGGATTTACAATATCAGTTTCTTGGGGAATGAACCACCACTAAATATATCATGTACAAGCATAAGGTCATGCCTCTAGGTTCTAAGAATAAGCTCCCCCACCCCCAAGTTTGGGATTCATCAGCTGGAAAGAACAAAGGAAAGTAAGAAAGGAAAGAAAAACCCTGGTTGGTTACTAAACTTGATAATGTAGAAAAGGTCTGCAAGGTCAGATATTTTCAGCAGGAGCAAGGAAGATTAATCATTTCTTGTTCCAATTCTATAATTTATTCAATTATACGGTTTAGGTCCAGTCTATCTGAAAGACTGTATCTCCCCATATAAGCCTGCCTGGGTTCTGAGAAGCTCAGGAGAAGCCCTTATTTCACTCCCACTATTTTCCCAAGTTCAGCAGGTGGGAATGCAAGAGAGAGCCTTCTTGGTGGGTGCCCCTAGGCTCTGGAACTCCTTGTCTGGTTGGGCTAAAATGGCTTCCTTCTTGCTGTCCTTCCAACAGAAGACGAAGACTTTTTATTCCAACAGGCTTTTAGAACTGAAGGCTTTTAGGAAAGGGCTTTAAAAGGATGCAGTATTGTTCTAAACTGTATTGTTTTTTAACTGCTTTTTATCATCACATGTTTTTATTGCTTTATTACTGTTAATAGTTACTACTGTTAGAAGTTTATCTTCTATCTTATTTTTTTTACCATTTGTACGATTACACTGCAATCATTTTAATGTATAAGCTGCCTTGAGTTCCAGTTTTGGTGAATGACGATGATAGCTCCGCTAATATGCAAAGTACATTGTTTTTCCTATCCTCCCAATGAACTTGTGGGACAGATCCTTATTTCATTCACTTCTCAGCAGAACTCAGAAACGTTACGTTTTGGACTGCAAGTCCCTGAATCTCCCAGCTAACATGACTAGCAACCATGCTGGCTGGGGATTCTGGACACTGTTATACAAAAAAGAGACCTTCCCAAGTTCTGCTTTTCAGTGAGTGCCTTTTCCAGAACTACCTTTTGAAACTACTTATTGAATGATTTAGCAGGAAGGAGTGAGAGAAATATTCTGTCCAAACAGAAGCACGTTGCTCTCTGTAAGGCACTGAAGGAAAACTCATTTGAGATTATTTTGTCCAACCTGAAAACTGCTACTAGTCCAGTAGTAGTACTGCTATTGTTGTCATTTGTTATTCTCATTATAATTCACAGTTTTAGTAGTAGTGGTAGTATGAGTTGACCAAAGTAAATATTATGATAATAGTTGGACCTGTTCAAGCTTCAGCAAAAAGAATATTGAAAGTCAACAGAACTGCACACTTCAAAATACTTTAAGAGGATTAATTCAGTAATGGGAAAATTATGCATATTGAAAGAGATCATTAAAAGAAGAGCAGATGGCTAAAAGTTGTTTGTCAATAAACTGAAAACCAAAGAAGGTTTCTACCAGGGAAAAGCATAATTGAAATTAGTCTCAAACACTTTTTGGCAGCAATCATAATTTATTTTTAAACCTGTATAGATTTGCAAGATTTTTGCATATGGCATTTCTTTATTTCACCTTTTGTATCATCATGCCCCAAAGGTTCAGCACAGGTAACAGAATCAATTAAACATAGTAGAATACAATGTCCAAGTTTACACTGTTTCACCCCCATACTGCAGAATACACTCTCCTCCAATTTGTGATCAATTGCCACTCTTTCTAATTTTAATGCCTCTCTTTAATCTTTCCTTTTAAACTGTTTTGGTACATACTGATTAGTGATTTCAATTGTGGTATTGTGGCATAGTGGTTTGAGTGCTGGACTATAACTTTGGAGACTAGAGTTTGATTCCCAACTTAGCCATGAAACCCACTGGGTGACCTTGGGCAAGTCACACTCTCTCAGCATCAGGGGAAGGCAATGGCAAACCTCCTCTGAACAAATCTGGCCAAGAAAACCCCATTGTAGGGTTGCCTAAGTTGGAAATGACATGAAGGCACACAACAACAATTGTTCAATTTGTTTTTAGTTATGTCTATTAGCCACCCCAAGTGCTATTTTTATTTTTTATTAGTGAAATGTTTGGATTAAATGTAATTTTAAAAATATAAATAAAATATAAAGAACTTGTCAGAATCACACCACCATTGCATTATCTTAAATATCTTACACTGCTTCTGGAAAATGCACAAGTTGGGACTTTAGTGATTATCGAAGGAATGGACAGGAGTTTCATAACTGTGGATTAGCCACCAACCATATGTCACCTAATATCAGGGGGAAGGGTCAGTTTTTGCACACGTAATAACAGCATCCATAGATGCTGTACATTTCCTCAAAGGATGATATGGGAGCTATTCACTCCCTTATATGTGTATATTCAGGAGAACAGTGAAGTGCTAGATAAACCAGTCCTCTTATTGTGTATAAGTACCTTCAAGTCACCTGTTGACTTATGGTGAGCCTGTGAATTTCATAGCCAAGGAATATTCAAATGTGGTTCTGTAAGTTCTTTCCTCTGAAATATAACCTACAGCACCTGGTGTTCATTGGTAGTCTCCCATTCAAATACTAACCAGGGCTAACCCTGCTTAGCTTCCAAGACCAGATGGGATTTGGTGCTTCTAGGGTTCTTAGGCCCAATACATAGGGTAAGTTAATTTTGGACTATACCTCCCAGATTTTTCAGGTTAGCCTAGCCAGTGGCCATGATATCTTGGGGAATTCCAATAATTCTAGTCACATTTCAGATATGACCCTATCTCCAGTGACCTTATATAACTTTATCCTTGCTTCTTTATCTGTACTACTCTCTCTCCTAAGTTCTGTTTTGTGCTCATCCTAGAATGTGATGGAATTTGGGAAAGTGGCTTTTTAAAAAAGCAGATATCCATATGTTGATTATTACACATGATGGTCCTGTCAATATATGTCAAACTTCACAGCTGGGTGGGGAGGGGGGGACTGTGGTCTTCTAGCTGTTATTGGACTAAATTACCACCATCCCTCACAATTATAGCCTTGCTGTCTGAGACTAATAGAAACCAAAAACAACTGGAGGGACACAAGTTTCCCACACTTGTTTGCATAGTAAAAGAAGTAAAGACAACTCTTTTATACTAGTACTTGTATGCTTATGACCCAGCTTGTAGTAAATATTCTGTGCTAGGGTGGGCAATGTGTAGTACTCCAGATGTTGGACAGCAGCTCCCCTCAGCCTTAGCTAGCATAGCCAGGGGTGAGGGGGAGCTAAGACTGACAATATTCAGAGCACCACATGATTTCCACTCCTGCTCTTGAGCAAGGACAGATGTGAAATATCTTTGAGACTGAGGATCAAATTTATTTTCAGAAAAGTTTGGGAAGGGTGTGGTTCATGCTCTATTCACATGGTGGTCCCTGTTAAAAAATGAATGGCTGACTAGGCTGTGTGATTGTCCTAGCATTTTTTTTCTCTCCCCACCCTTTGCCTTGTCATTTTGTCCTGAGGACAGTACTTGAGAGCTATCTGAAGTGACAATACAGCCTCCACACATTAAGTCTCTGCAGTGGTTAAAAGACCATGGTTTTTCAGTTTTATTTCTTTAGTATCTAATGCCCTTTATGCTTTGCTGAGCCCTTCCCTGATCTAAAGTTACCCTCTTTATTAAATTAATGTTCTGCCTCAGTTAATATTTGCCCTGCTCCCTGAAGAAGGTGCTTTCATGCTAGCTGTGTCTCAGTAATTCTTATGTTCCAGTGGTAGCTGCCAACAAGAGCAAACACTCAGGCAGATGATCCAGCAGAACTGGGGCCCAGAAGTGAAGTGTAGATCCTGGCTCAAAAGATTCAGCAATCCTTTTTCATGATGGAAAAGAATGTGACCTATTTGTATAGGCATTTATGCTGCAATCTGCATGAAAAGTTTGGTCTCTCTCAGGAATCCAAGTGAGAGGTGTTAAGGCAATGATCCAAAAAGACAGCAGCCACGAGTTTGGTCTCTCCCAGCAAGAAACAAGAATTGTGTTATGTGTGACACAACCACCACTGCCACACAAAATCAAGGGCAGGCTAACAGGGGAACCTACAGAATGCAATTACGAGGCAATGATGGGGCTGTGTGTGGGATGGGGGGAAGGGAGAGAAGAAGAACCAGGACACTAGCAGAAACTCCTTCAAATTCAAACAGAAATTCAGGTCAATTCCATTCACAACCCAATTTCTCCATCCCCTGCCTGACTCCAGCTCACCTGTCGGGGAGCTATAAGTTGTCTCATCCTGGAGCTGGCTGCGCTGGGTCACCTGTGTGCTGCTGGCATCATCTTCTCCCGTCTCCGAGTCTAAAACAAAATAAAAGACAAGGTGAGGTGGGTAGGTCAACCTACATAATCACTCTGACTGTCCAATCCCATTTCTTATATGTGACTCAGACAGGATTGGCGAGATCTAGAAAATTCAGCTCTCAGAATTTCAAGAGAGAGAGAGAGAGAGATGGTGATAGAGATGTTTTTTATGGAACAGATAAGCTCAAGAGCATCACAATCACAGATTTGAGAGGTACAGGCACCAGGAGGCAAATCACAAGAGCTCTTCTATTTAATCACTTTTTCTGATTAACATGATTATTGAGTCATTTTTAAGAAATCAGCTTCCTAAACATTACTAAAATACCAAGATATTTAGCCAGCCCAAACAGTTGGAAGGCAAATACAGAACTAATCATGCTTAGAAACTAGAACTAACTCTTGCTTAGATGTGGAAAAGACAATGAAGGTAGCAATTTCCCAGATCATAAATATGTATTCTAATATATATGAAAGGCCCTGCTTTTTCATCATGTGTTAATGTCAAGTAAAATTGCTACAAGAGTCTGTACGAATTCCTGATCACATAAGCAAAATATAAAGAAAGAAATCAATACATGCCAGAAATGCTGGCAGTAAAAAAAAAGAGAGAGAAAGAGAGAGCTTCACTAACTGAAGATATAGTCCTTTGGGGATTGAATTGCTCCTTAAACATGATAGCTTTAATGTTACATCACTCTGTAATTCATTATCCTTTTCCGATGTTGCTCAGGTTTTTTGATGAGTCAATGTGACAAGCTCATCTGACTCTGGCACCTAGTAATCACAGCTAAAATGTTGGCAGCAAAAATACTGCATGAATATTCTCCTCCCTCACTAAAAGAATGGCTGGCTAAATTGTGGGAAGCTAGTAGAAATGTCAAAGCATATGAAATATGCCTTAAGGCTCCCAGCAGTCTGCATTCAGAATCTTCTGGGACAAGATAGTCTCCTTTTACTGTTTTTATGAAGAGGACATAGCATGTAAAGAAAACCCTGTATAAATAGTTGTTAGCTATGCAAATATTTTTCTGTATTCTTTGTTACCAGCATTCTTTCTGTTTTTAATTAGTGCCTAATAAACTATTGAGCCGAAGACGGAGATAAGCTGCTTCTTGAAAACAAAGCCCCATCCAAAACAGTGGCAGGTGCACTTCTCTTGCATAGTTATTGCTGTAGCACCCCAGAGTTCAGTTTAGGAGACACACCAAGGGTCCTTCCAAATCAGGCTTTTATGGTGAAATTGTCTGGCCTCATTTATGAATGTCCATAGTGGAATCCAGACAACACACTCTTCCATTTATAAACAACCCCCTTTCCAAATATATCCACTGATTCGTCTGTCTTTTTTCTTATGACATAAAGTACATTAAAGAGAGAAAGAGGAAAGCTGGATTTTTCTTCTGGTGGATGGGAGACCACCAATGAATATCAGGTGTTGTATAGCTACAATATTTCAGAGGAAGGGACTGGAAAAGCCACCTGAATATTCATTGCCTGAGGTTGTATCTACATTGCAGAAATAATGCAGCTCAATGCTATGGAATTCTGGGATTTGTAGTTTTGTGAGATATTTAGCTTTCTCTGTCAGAGAGCTCTGATGCCACAACAAACTGCAAATCCCAGGATTCCACAGAATGGAGTCTGTGGCAGCAGCATGAATGGCAAACCTCCTCTGAATAAATCTTGTGAAGAAACCTCCATAATAGGTTCACCTTAGCATCACCATAAGCCAGAAACAACGTGAACGCACACAACACACACATTATTGGAACCGGACTCTCTACCTTATTTTCACTGTACACTTCACAGTGATGCCTTTATTAAAGGTAAGGGCATTCCCCGTTGACAAGGTTGTCAAGTCGTGTTGACTTTAGGGGGCAGTGCTCATTTCTGTTATTAAGCCGAATAGCCAGTGTTGTCAAAGACGACTCTGTGATCCTGTGGCCAGCATGGCTGCACAGAACATTGTTACCTTCCCACCAGAGCGATACCTATTTATCTACTTGCACTTTTACATGCTTTTGAACGGCTAGGTTGGCAGAAGCTGGGACTAGTGACAGGAGCTCATTCCATCATATGCCTCAAACTGCTGACCTAACAAGCTTGCAATCATCAGAATCAGCATCTTAACCACTGAGCCAACACATTATTATGCCAGCCAAAAGAGGCAAAATACATTAAGGTAGCTTTTGGAGTTCATTGGCTTCTTCGTCAGGCAAGGATGTTATTAAAATTATACAGTAGGGGGGAATGGTGATGTCAGAGTCTGCATCTTGTTTTGAAATATTTGCTTAAATTGGTGTTGAAGGGTGGTCTCCAAGGAGAGCTCACACTCCTTTTTGGCCATGAGGAGACATGAGGGCAAAGGGTAGTAAAAGTTAGGCCATAATTATTCATCTCCAGAACCCTCTGTTTTCATGGTGCAGCTTTCATTTTCTTTTATGTGTGTGGTGTTGTTTGCCTTCAAGCCATTTCCAACTTATGGCGGCCCTAAAGCAACCCTATCACAGGGTTTTCTTGGCATGTTTCTTCACAAGT